AGAAAATATATATGTATATATAATACAATAAACATTGTCAAATTAAATGAAGGAAGAGGATTTTTTTAAAGTCAAATAAAATATTGGGGATTTATGTAAAAATATACATAGAGACATATAAACTTTATATAATGAAAGATATGTAGGCTATGTTAGGTGAATACTCCTGTCAGTGACCCTGACCACTGGCATTGGCAAAAGAACTGGAGTTGGTCCCCGGACACTGCACTGTGGCTGCCCACTGCTCCCAGTGTATACAGTAGGATGGGTCAAATGCAGAGATCAAATGTATGTAATGTGCTGAGAAAGAACAATAAAGAATCTTCTTCTTCTAATAATTTTTTTAATAACTAGGAGATAACAAAAAAATAAAGAGATTTCAAAGACTTAAAAAATAAGGGACATGAATCAAAACAACGAGAAACGAGATATATCCCCAGTCATGCACACCCACTTCTAATAAACTCAGTACTGTTTTTCAACACATATATTTTTTTGTCTTCATTCAATGTAGTTAGCACATATTGTTATTGTGCCATTGGTTTTGGCCTTGGTGCCCCAATAAATTTGTATTTTTTAGGGCAAGGCCAAAGTGGCCTTGCCCTAAAAATGACCTAATTCCAGGCCTATAATGGTGTATTTCCTCTCCTGTTTCTGTCCTCGGAGGGGCCAGTTGCAGTGTGCTGCTTTTTTATGTGCTGCTGCCTCCATTGGCTGAGCGTCTCTGCTAACGTAAAATATAAGTCATGAGCAAAAATATGCACCACACAGCCAGAAAAAGAACCTCTTAGGCAGGGCAAGTAAGAATTTAGATGGGGCAAGTAGATTTGGGAAGTACTTGCCCGGCCACTGACGGCTCCACGTGAGATAGCGAGTAATCCTTTAACTTTTCCCCTCGAAAAACGACATGACATGACTTGCCACCACTCATCGCGATTTTGGACGTTGTGTGTTTAGGCTGCCCTGGTGCAAAATCCATGAGGAATAAAAGAAAAACGATGCTGGAATCAGGAAACCGAGAGGTTCCTGAATCCGGTGATACCAAACATCACATGGTTTGATGACGTAGTGCACCTGGAAGATACCATTTAACAGAGGAGGGAGGGAGCGCAGACGCCGGCGTCCGAACGAAGTTAAAAAGGAGATCCAACCCGGTTCTACCAAAATGTACCTAATAAAGTGGCTGGTGAGTGCAATCCTGAGACATGTACTGTATTATGATGCAGTAAAACATGCTACAGATATGACTGCGTCTTTGTGCCAAAATAAGATGTTAAAACAGATAAATACAACATACATATATGGACATCAGATTTACTGCTCTATTTACAGGAGGTAAACACGTTACCTGTGTCCCTTATGAGTTAAGAAATCCCACTAAATTGTTAAAGAGCATGTTTGTCCTATTCATATCCAAAGAAAAAAAAAACATGATGGCCAGAAGTAGAAATAGCTAACGGCACCAGAGAGGCTAATGACACCAGAGAAGCTAACAACACCACAGAAGCTAACGTAGCTTTTAAACGTCAACGGACTGAATATTTATTGAACAAAGCTGCAGTTACATTATTAATAATGAACTTGTAATGTTTAATGAACAAACCTGCTCTGTGTAACCGAAGCTGAGGGTTGAAAACAGCGTCCAGTAGTTTCCGTTGTTGCTCGTTCTCCTCTTTTGATCGACAAAGTTCCTCCTCGTACTCTGTTATCGTTATGAATAAATCATCCATGTTTAGCAGCGCAGCTGTAAGAGTTTAACTTATTGAGGTAAACGACAGTGTGACCAGGAGAGATCCAAACTGTGACTCGCATTTTGTGACCGTGGAGCTCCAATGCGACTGGCAAATAGGATAAATACATGAACTGGAGAGGCCTAAGTGTGTTACCAGCTTACAGTGAATAAATCCTGACATTTAAAAGGCGTCGCAGTAACAGTTTAACTTTCTGCTAACTGCTAACAACTGAAAGGAAGCTACAAGTTTACGGCAAAAACATGACTGCGATTATCTGGTCTCTTTCCAATCATCGTCACTATCATCAGTCTCAGGTTCAGAAGACTCTCCAGTCTTGTCATCAGTCTCAGGTTGTAAATGTGTATCTGGATCTGAGTTCCTGGCTGGTTCTGCTCCTCCACAGTCGTCTTCATCAGCTTCCGTTTCCATCTCTTTTCCCACACTCAGAGCAGCTATATGAGTTGTCATGCGTCTCTTCAGATGACCTGTTTGAGAAAATCCTTTCCCACACTCAGAGCAGCTAAATGGTCTTTCTCCTGAATGAGTTCTCATGTGTGCCTTCAGATCACGTGGATGAAAAAAATCTTTTCCCACACACAGAGCAGGTAAATAGTTTTTTTTCCTGTGTGAATGCCCGTGTGTGTCTTCAGATGAATATTTTGAGGAAATCTTTACCCTCACTCAGAGCAGCTATATGGTATTACTCCTGTATGAGTTGTCACGTGTCTCTTCAGATGACCTGTTCGAGAAAATCCTTTCCCACATTCAGAGCAGGTAAATGGTTTTTCTCCTGTATGAGTTGTCATGTGTCTTTTCAGATATCCTGTTTGAGAAAATCTTTTCCCACACACAGAGCAGGTAAATGGTTTTTCTCCTGAATGAGTTCTCATGTGTGCCTTCAGATCACCTGACCGAGTAAATCTTTTCCCACACTCAGAGCAGCTAAATGGTCGTTCTCCAGCATGAGTTCTCATGTGTACCTTCAGAGTACCAGACTCTGAAAATTTTTTACCACACTCAGAGCAGCTAAATGGTTTTTCTCCAGCATGAGATCTCATGTGTGTCTTCAGATGACCTGCCAAAGAAAACCTTTTCCCACACTCAGAGCAGCTAAATGGTTTTTCTCCTGTATGAACTCTCATGTGTGTCTTCAGACACCATGACTGATAAAATCTTTTCCCACACTCAGAGCAGCTAAATGGTTTTTCTCCTGTATGATATCTCATGTGTGCCTTCAGAGCACCTGACTGAGAAAATCTTTTACCACACTCAGAGCAGCTAAATGGTTTTTCTCCTGTATGAAATCTCATGTGTGTTTTCAGAGCACCTGACTGAGAAAATCTTTTACCGCACTCAGAGCAGGTAAATGGTTTTTCTCCTGTATGAAATCTCATGTGTGTCTTCAGTTGACCTGTTCGAGAAAATCTTTTCCCACACTCGGAACAGCTAAACGGTTTTTCTCCTGTATGAGTTTTCATGTGTATCTTCAGATTATTTGACAGAGAAAATCTTTTCCCACACTCAGAACAGCTATGTGGTTTTTCTCCTGTGTGAGTTATCATGTGTGCCTTCAGAGCACTCGACTGAGAAAATGTTTTCCCACACTCAGAGCAGCTAAATGGTCTTTCTCCTGTATGAAATCTCATGTGTGCCTTCAGATGACCTGACCAAGAAAATCTTTTCCCACACTCAGAGCAGCTATATGGTTTTTCTC